AGATCTTCTAATTGTTTTATGTTATATATATATATTTTTTTTTTCTGTCTAAGCTCATGGAAATGCTGACAAATGGCTGCAGCTTGGCCTCCTTCTCACTGTTTCTCATTTTTCTCCCTCTCCAGCAGAGATTTTGGCCAAGACTCATTTGTCCTACTTCCTAAGCTCCAGCTATTTATGTAATGGTTTATCACAGTTTTGTGCTGTTTACTCAGCTTTTTGGTCCTTCATTTCCCTCTTTAAGTGTTACCCACCATATATTTTAGGCTAACCAGCAATTTCCAGTGTAAGACAATATTTTAAATTAATTTAACATATTTAATGAACCTTGCTTGTACTCTGTTTTAAACATGGTTTTCAGCTGTAAGGTTTAAAATTTCTAGAAAACTATGATTTAAATGAAACCATCACGAATAAATTAATAATAAATGCATATTACCTGACATGTAGCATACCAAAGTTTTCGCATGATCTGTTAGCACTCAAAACATGTGTTGAGGATGACTCTCAGCTACTACCACATAAAACTTTAGCTCAATATCTGTCATTGAGTTAGAGTAAATTTTGTGTTTCCTATAGCTGATTAGCCATGACAGTCATATTTAATCAGTTTGACACTAAAAGATAATCGGTCGTAAATGTACATCCTACTTTCTGAGGGTTTTGTTAAAAAATTGTCCTCTGTATTGTGAGATATTTTGCTAACAGACAGACATATAAACATGCCCATTTACTCACACTAACAATTATATTATAGCCTGTCTTTCATTTCAGCTGGTGATAATTACACATAGATATAATAGCTGAAACCAACTAAAAACAAAAAAAATGAAATAGCTGAGCTATAAAAAACTTGAGTTCAGTTAAATAGTTCCCTTGAAATCTTTCAGTCACAATGTAATCTTTTGTCTGCTGAATAAATGCATTAAAGTTATGAAAAAGTTTTTTATTTGATTATTTTAGGCCACTGGCAATGTGTCTGAACTATATATAAGATATATAAGCAGCAATCTGTCATTTAGTGGTACTTAAATTATTAATAATGCATTCATAGAATGCCTAGACCATGTAAGTACAGAAGATCTGCAGAACATAATGTCTGCGTATGAGCTCTTGAAGGATTTGTGGACAGTTCAAGTCCACCCAGTGTCATAGGACACTTGGACAATACGTGCATTCATCTTTCAAACCAAAGTTCAGAAACAGAAAGTGTGTAGCGAATGCTATCCAGAGCCTGAAAGAGCCTCACTGTCTTAATCTTCCTTCTGTTGCTTTCAGTGTTCACACACATCTCACTGTTAATCCACACCACCGAACAAAATCACACTCTCTGAACATCAATTTAAAAAATATATACATAATGTGTTGAACCAGTCTGACAGCTGGGTAGTTAACTACATTTTCCTTTTTCCAATGAGTTATAATTTTGTGGTTCTGTTATTCACACTTTGAGCTCAGGAGGAAAACAAAAGACAGAGGAAGCAAATCTTTGTGTGTGTGTGTGTTTGCATGCAAGTGGTTGTTTGTGAGCTTTGTCTCTTTATAGAAAGTGATTTTTTTTTTTTCTGGTGGGAAATGTTCTGTCTTCCTGCGGAGCCTCTTTTCACCAAGTAGGCCCTCAGCTGATGAATATTCACACACACTGACAAAAGAAAGCTCAGATGAACAAAAGTTGAAGCCAATTAGCTTCCAAAACCAGGGAGAGAGTGGGAGATGGATCCAGCCACTCAGGATCTCTGTGTTCATGTGGCTCAAAAGCAGAAGAATCTGACCAAAGTCAGGCGGAGCGAATCACTTCCAGTCCTGGTGGACACAGAGCTAATGATCATGGCTCTACATCAGAGGCTTTGAATTACATGTGGAACATATCAGTACGGCCTTGTGCTGATAGCTGCCATCACATAGCACACATTTTGCCCCCGGGGGCTAAGCCTTAACATTTTTCCCCAGGTTTGTGTAGATTAACAGCAACAAAAGGAGCTGGGCGGAAACTCACGCCCAGCTAAACAAAAGATGGATTGTTTTACGTTAGCCTTGACCTCTGAGAACTTTCCCCACTGATACATCAGGACCTCTCACCTACTTTACTGAGACCTTCCCACTTCTGTCCCAAGAGAAGACACGCCTTGTCCTCAGAATCTTCTTGCAGAACTCAAATGTCAAATTTAGTTCTATCAGTCCTTCTGTACCCTTTTTTTTATTATTTTGAAGGTATTTCACAAGATATTTTTAAATTGAAAAATGCTAACTCTTTGCAATCATTTTAAGTTGCTTTAATAATATTTCAGCTGATTTTTTTTTCCTGATCTGATTCATCAGTATGAAAAAAAAATCATGCTTACTTTTGTTGACTGAATCTGCTTTGAGTTATTTAAAAGTTACAACCTTTAGCTGCTTTAAAGGCACAATACATATTTTGTTTTCATTTTTCAAACGTAATAAAAATAGCATTTCTTGAAGGAATGCATGTCACTCACTGCCTTTCTTTCCAGGATTTTAAACTAAATTCATTTTATGAGAAGGTGCAGAGTTAATACTTTTCTGGTCAAGCCTTTGAAATGGCATTGTGTGTGATCTGTTAGCACCTGAGCTGTTTTGAGGATGATTCTCAGCTTCTAGCACACCAAATTTTAGCACCATATCTGTAAAACTGACAGAGTTTCATATCTTGGTTATGAAATAATTTTCTAATTGTGTGGCCAAACAAACAGACACAAACACAGGCAACACGTTGTTACCTTCAGTGGCAGACAGTAAAGCTTTATATCAATTCTGGCAATAAAGTGATAATTGTAAACAAAAAATAAAGTTGAACAAGTTTTGGCTATTTTTCACCAACAACCATTTATGAAACGTATCTAACGTAACCAGTTTGTCTTTGGCAAATTGCCTTATTCTTATATTAGAGAGTATTCATCAGCTTTGGTCAGTTAATCCCAGGAGAATTAATTTCAACCTGAAAATAATATCATAATCTTTCTATTAGACCTGATAAAATTAGAATTGTGCCGCTCGAGGTGACTGCATGTTGGAGTAGCTCTGTTACATTCATTTTGAGTTATTGCTTTTGAAAACTTTAACTCCTCTATTTTCTAGATATAAATTGCTTTTATCAGATGATTACTTCCTCTGGTATTGGATGCTGTGCAGCTGGAAGGATTTTTACTGAAATCTTGTTACTTTTGGGCATTTGTTATCATGCGTAAAAATAGCAACAAGTCATTTTTTTAGCAACCAGGAGCAGCTGATTAACATCTCAAAAGCTCAAATACCTCAATTACAGCCCCAAATCCCAAATGAGTTGAAAAGGAGGCACCGTGGACCATTTCCTGTCAACCTGGCGGCGGTGCTCGAATACCTGACCGCCGAAATCCAGGAGCTTGGGGAAAACTTGGCTCTTGACAATGGGAGGACTAGGATCATCCTCTGACACCTTCAGCTGTCTGTCCGTGGCGACGAGGAGCTCGGCATACTGCTGGGAGGAGTGACCATTGCTCAGTTAGGAATTCTGTCCAGCATTAAGGCAGTCCTGCTGCCCAGGAGGATCGAGAGGCCGGATCTGACAGCAAGCTGGATCCGGGTGGACGGATCGATATCTGTGGCCAGATTTCTCGGATTCGCTGCAGGAGATCCTTCCTTCCCACAGCTATCAGCATCTATAACTCTTGAGTGGAACCAGGATGATGAGCTACAACAGTGCTTAATTTCCCTTTGGGATTAATAAAGTGTTTTTGAATTGAATTGAATAATTAAGCATGATGGATCCAAAACACGTCAGCACGGTGGCACAACTGGTAGAGCTGCTGCCTCTCAGCGAGCAGGTCCTTGGTTCAAACCCCGGTCCAGGGGCCTTTCTGGGTGGAGTTTGCATGTTCTCTCCGTGCATGCGTGGGTTTTCTCCAGGTGCTCCGGTTTCCTCCCACAGACCAAAAAACATGCATGTTAGGCTGATCGGTAACTCTAAAATGTCCCTAGGTGTGAGTGAGAGAGTGAATAGTTGTTTGTCTCTATGATGTTTGCCCTGTGATGGACTTGCGACCCGTCCAGTGTGTACCCCGCCCCTCGCACAGTGATTGCTGGACATGGGCACCAGCGACCCCCGTGACCCAAAATGGAATAAGCGGGTAAAGATAATGGATGGATGGATGAATGGATGGATCCAAAACACTCGGAGTGATCCAGAAATACATCCAGTTTTCATATATGTGTCACAAAGTCATTGATATTTAAAAATGGTGAAAAGGAGAGAATATTGCAGCCTCATTGGAATTAGATAGCAACAACAGCAAACAGATCAAAACAGTTAAATGTTCCTGACTTCTCACTACGTTCATAAGGTAGATAGACCTCAGCTGTGCTCAGCAGAAAAGGTGAAACATGTACATCCAAATCATCTCCAAAACAGAAGTGTCACAATAATCCATAAGAACCGTGAAATCATGACATGACCTTCTTTTTTAGTTGTTGAAACATTTAGTCTTCAAATCCAAAAGACTGTATCAGTCTGAGGAGCCACAACAAACCCAGTCTTAAACAGCACCTTCTCATATATGGAGCTAGTTTCTGGAGTCCGCCCTCTCCTCCACCGACTCGTTTGAGGCAGTCATGGCCAATATTGAAATATATTATAAATTACTATAATAATATAGTTGTTTAATTTCAACAATATGTGCAGTTAGCTCCTGTATCCAAGCATTTGCAAGTAAATTGAAACATAAAATAAGCAGCATGGATTTTAAACTTGTGGTCTGTTGAACATAATTCAATGAATCGACTGCTTCCTCTTTTTTTGAAGCATTTATGGGTAGACCAGTGCTGAAAGGGTGAGACGAGACTCTGAGTATGAACCGCTTCACTTTACGCTTAACGTCTGCTTTAGATTACTCAGAACCAGGTTAATCATTTAACTGAAGGCCTATAATTTACAAACACATGTGATGCAATCAAAAAGTACTCGAGCAACACATAATTCTATTTACTGTATGTTTATCCCCTCTTAGGGTGGTGCCATCTCAATCCTGGCAGCCTGCGAGAGACCCAGTGATTTTGGGGGAGTGGTTCTGATAGCTCCAATGGTCCAGATGAACCCAGACTCAGCAACGCCATTCAAGGTACCACATGATTTTCTCCCTATTTACTATCTAAACTAGAGGCTCCTGAACTTTGCAGCTTCTGACTCCAACTTTGGGAACCACTGCTCTAAGTTGCCATCTTTTTTTCCTCATTTTCTCACAACCCAGGAGTCACTTCTCCTGCATCACTCAGGCTTATTATTGAGGAAAACAATAATTTTTTTGTTCCATTTTTTTTTGTCCAGCTGCCACTAACAGAATCAACACTTTCAATGTGGTATTGTTTCGAGATCAAATATCCTCAACGCGGTTGTTTAAAAACCTCTGTGGAAACAGATGAGATTTGATTTTCTCCTTAACAAGAACAAATCTGTCTCTCTCTTTAATATGGCTCCGATTCAAAACATGAAGCACTTGCATATTAGAAATGAGAATCTGAGCAATCAAATACAACAAAATTACTCAGCGTTTCTGATGAATGTGTCAAACAGAAATTTTCATCGTGGTTTTGTTGATTATTGTTTGCAGATTTTTGTGGCGAAGGTCTTGAACCACGTGCTGCCCAGCCTGACCCTGGGCTCCATCGAATCCAAATGGATCTCGCGGGACAAGAAGCAGGTGAGAGACAGATGTTGGTCTGCGTGTGACTGGGACTGTGCGCTGCATTGTGTGTAATTGAAATATCCCATTCGGATGTAGTAGAAAAAAGAAAATAAAAACCTCGGAAAGTATTAAGAGGAAATTGTATATCTCTATGTGTGTACAAATAAAGTGCAGCATAATAGGTCAATCTCAGGATGAAGACCACCCCATTTTTATTTTAATTATATTATGTCTAACTATAAACAAGGTTTATTTACATTGTCTCACACCCAAACTGCTTGTATAATGCTACAGATTAACCAGCGGAAAGCTGACAACACACGTGCAGGCACGTTCATGCACCTGCAACAGCACACATTCGTGTTTGAACCAAACCTGTGGGGTCATGTGTGTACATACGCAATCCCACATCCTGCTACTGCTGCTTCCCACAGTCAGTTCGGGGAAGTCGTGTTTTTCCATGTACTGTACAACAATAGATAAATACAACAGATAACACTAACCTGAAACAAACGAGACAAATCTTCTGCTGCAGCTTGTTTTATGTAAACGCTCTCTGTTGTGACTTTTAGTTGAGTTTTTTTGGTTTTTATTGCGAGGCGGAATTAAAGTGAGCCTTTTTTCTCTGTACTTCAAGTTAGAAATTAGAGAAACCATTAAAGAAATAAACAAAAGTTTGTGGAGCTGTTTTTTTTTTTTTTTTTTACTCATATCAGTCATCTCACAAAGTTTCTGACTCATTCATAAATCAGGTTTAGCAGCCTGCCACTAAAGGCCACAGACATGAGCAGATAATAGAGATAAAACCAAAACACCTTGACCTACTAGTCGTCAGCAAAAACACCTGATTGCTTCAAGCCCATGGGTCATTTTATAAGTAAAAAAATAAAAATAAAAAATAAATTTCCTCATGCAAACTTAAACCTTAAAACTTTATGTGATCAAAGGAAAAATGAAAGAAGTGTTTCTGTTGTTCTTTGGGGCAGTTTTGGGTCTGCTTACATGAAAGAATCACTGTAAATTAACATAACGGTGCTCAATAAGGCTTGTGTGGTGGTTAACCTCGCAGCAATAAGGTTACAGATTTAACTCCAAACTGGGGGGCTTTCTGCATGGAGTTTGCAGGTTCCTCCTGTGCATGTGTGGATTTTTTCTGGGAACAATGGTTTCTTCCCACAGTCCAAAAAACATGCATGCTAGGTAAAGTGGCTACTGGTTGATTACAGTACCCCACCTTTCACTCAGTGACTGGTGGAAATAGATAAACAGGTCCCCACAACCCTGAACAGGAACACATAGAAAATGGATGGATGGATGGATGGATGGATGGATGGATGGATGGATGGATGGATGGATGGATGGATGACAGTTCTATAACCTTTGTTGTCTTTGTGTGGAGTCATTTTATATTTATGTTCAATGTCACAAAAAGGTCTGACAGCTTATAGACTTTTAAAAAGCCTAAAGCATGCATGCGTCAGGAAACCTAAAAGAACTTGTCTTGTAGTAGAAGACCTTGCTGCTGAGGCCTCAGATAGTCTGACCAGCACAATTTGAAGAACGTTTACTGTGTTAAGCATTCACACTACTGGTTTTAATGTTCTTTGAAATCTAACTATACTTCATTCTATTTTAGCCATTCATATATCAAAACATTCAGCTCATGCAGAAGGGTGCTATATCTTTTGTAACTTTTGTATTTTTCAAACTATTTCACACCATTTACAAATATTTTACTAACAGAAGCACAATGAGCTCTCGTCAGTCCTTTGAAAAACATTGTGCCGTGGCAGCTGTAATCAAATAGGCAACAATTCAACTCTCAAACTTTATTACAGTAGCTGTGCCTTTTCTCCAGATGCCATTACAGAATACAGCGTTGTCTCATTGCTTTTGTGTCTTACTTTTATTTTCTTTAAACATATATTTTGCCATAATTTCGTTCCACCACGTGTACTATATGTGGTGCGAACAACAATAAAGAATCTCTGACTCTGCCTTAAAGACCAAAGGTCCTGACACAGCAGCGCCCTCTAGTGACAAAATCTAACAACAGCAACAGAACGAAACGTTCAGTGTGTACTAAAAACTCAACACTTTGAAATCTGCTTTAGCATATTGTTGTATTTTAGTCTTCTTATGCTACATTTAGCTGCCATTCAACTACTTTTAACTATTATCTGGGCTTTTGCTACTTTTTAGCCTTTAGCTACTTTTAGCTGTTGTCTAGCTACAGCATTCAAACCACATTTTCACAGAATCTGCTAATTTTCTATCCCACATTTCTCAGTGAGTGAGCATTTGGGTTTCTGTTCCAGTGAATTGAACACTAATGAATATAGTATTGTCCTAATATTATCTTGTTTGTCTGTTTTATTTATTTATTTATTTATTTATTATTATTATTATTATTATTATTATTATTATTATTATTATTATT